CTGGAAGAAGGAAACATGACATTGTGAAGACTGGCAATGCACTGAGGACTGAATTCATGAGGACTTCTTTTCCAGCTCCTGATAAGAATTTGTTCTTCCAGCTTAGTAATTTATTCTTGATTGCATCAATCACATATTTAAAAGTGTCACCTTTGGATCTTCCTATACCAAGCGGCAGCCCCAGGTATCTTGTAGAATGATGAACAACTATCCCTTGCAAAATGTTGCATATGTTGTTCTGCACATCCTCAGGTGTGTTTCTACTGAAAAAAACTGATGACTTCCCCATATTAACTTGCTGACCTGTGAATTTTCTATATTTCTCCAGCATAGACAATATCAGATAGGCAGAGTCAACAGTAGCTTGACAAAAAAGAAGAGAGTCGTTAGCAAAGAAAATATGACTGAGATTGGGCCCCTGCTTAGAAATTTTGATCCCTTTGTATGTGCCTGTGGTCATTTCATGCTGAATCAAACAAGATAAACATTCTGACACTAAGATAAATAGGTAGGGGGAGATGGGGTCCCCTTGCCTAATACCTCTTGATGGCACAATGTAACCAGTTGGATGGCCATTTAGTTTGAATGAAAAGGAGGCAGTTTGAACACAGGCCATTATCCAATTTATGAAATAACTGTGAAATCCCATTTTATTCATGATTTGGCTAATGCTGGCCCACTCAATTCTGTCAAAAGCTTTTGACATATCTAGTTTTAAAGCCATATATCTCTTGGGGCCAGTTCTATGCCTATTTAGGAAGTGGAACACCTCGTGAGCTATAATAACATTATCCAGTAGTTGCCTATCTGGAATAAATGCAGCTTGTGTGTTACTTATGCATAGAGGAAGACAGGGCTTGAGCCTTTCAGCAAGAATTTTTGAAATCACCTTATAAATCACCTCACATAAGCTAATAGGCCTGTAATCCCCCACAGTAATTGGTGATTGACATTTGGGGATCAAAGTAATCAGTGTGAGGTTCCAGTTTTTGAGCATGTGACCAGAGTTAAAAAAAAAAAAAAAAAGACAGCTTTGCACAAATCAGATTTTATAGTACTCCAAAATGATTGAAAAAAGGAGGGAGTCATACCATCCCAACCAGGGGCCTTGTCAGGGTGCATAGAGAACAAAGCATTTTTTATCTCCTCCTCAGTGACTTCTGCAATAAGGTTGGCATTCAACTCTTCAGTGATAGTAGTAGGGATGAAGCTGAGGAGATTGCCTGTATCCATTGATCCCTCAGAAGTGAAGAGATGATGGTAGTGCTCAGTTAGACAAGCAGCTATATCTTCTCTGTTTGTGCACACAGTCTGGTCATTCCTGATGAGTCTGGAAATTGTATTAAGTTTTCTTCTTTGAAGGGTAAAGGCATGGAAGAATTTAGTATTCCGGTCCCCTTCTTTGAGCCACATTGCCCTAGACTTTTGTTTCCAAAAGAGTTCCTCAGCTTTATAGGCTTCATCAAGCTGTTGTTTGAGGTGATTCCATCTTTCCCAATTTCTTGTCCGTCCCTGCTCTGTGAGACCAGCCATTTCAGTAGTGAGCTTCTCAATATTTTTGGCTGAGTCATTTTTGAAGGTCCTGCTCCATTTTAGAAGGGCTACTCTGGTGGCCTTTAACTTTTCAGTGAGGTTGAACATTGGAGAACCCTTACCAGGTTGGTCCCACACTTTTTGAATTTCTTCCTTTATTCCTGGTTTTTTTAGCCATCTCTTATCAAAACAGAAAATTTTTTTCTTGTTCTCTGGTGAGGAACCAATGTGGAGCATTAGGAGGTTATGATCAGATGCACTTTTAAAGACATTTATAACTTTTGCTTGAGGATGATTTTGATGCCAGTGCAAGGATGCAACCATTCTATCCAGCTTTTCCTCAATGTATCCCTCAGCAGGTCTATTATTACCCCATGTGAAAGGGTAACCTTCCATATGAATTTCTTGTCCTCCCAAGTCAGCCAACAGAGCTCTAAATCCCCAAAAACTTGATTCTGGTCTGATTCTTCCCCCATTCTTTTCTTCTTGGCATAGTATGTCATTCCAGTCCCCTGCTATTACCCAACTGCTCCCCCAATTCCTTTTGGCCTGTTTGAGATATTGCCATTGTTCACATCTCACATTTTTTATAGGGCTGAGGTATATGAAAATGAACCAGAACTTGTCAGAGTTGCTTGAAAGGCTGAATTCTATTTCCACGCAAAAGGATTGGCATATGATTTGATGGATGATTACCTCCCTGTTCCAAAAAACCAGCAACCCTCCTCCCTTGTTAGTAGGATCAGTTGCAATCCATCTGTCTTCTAGTCCCAGACTCCTACAAACAGTTGAAATGAACTTCTTTGATTTTCTAGTATCACACAAAAAAGCAAAATGTGGGTGGTAGGATCTCCAGGATTCCTTCAGTTGGGGAACTGTAGAGGGCCCACCCAGACCTCTGCAGTTCCACACCATGGCTGTCATTTGTCACTTTGGGGCCATTTAAGGCTGGCTTCCTCCACCTTTGCGACAGTTAGTTTTTGCTTTTTATTTTGACTGCCCTGATCCTCTGGTTGAGCTGTGGGGTTGCTGTCTTCCATATCAATCTGTCTGCTTCTCTTGCCACTGTCATTAGGCTCTTCAATAGACTGTGAGATGTGGGTTGAGACATTCACTGTGGCTCTATTTTGTTTCCTTGTCCACTTCCTTTTTGATTCCTGTTGATGAACAGGTTGTTGTGCAGCGGCTTGGGAGAAATCCATTAGCTGTTCATTGCTTGGGGAGATTTCATTGTTGTTGAATTGCAGCAAAAGGGGTTTGCTTGATGGAAGGATGGCCTTGGATTGATTGCTTGTGGAGAGTTGGCCTGAACTACTAGCAATAGGAGTCTTTTCTATTGGTTTGTCCAGGTTCATGATTTGCTCAGGAGAGTTACTGGTACCTGTTTCTTGTTGATTCCCCATAAGTGAATTGCCCAGATGGTTGTTATTATCCTTTTGCAGTGGCATAGTGTCTGAAGATTTGCTTGTTCGAGGGGAGTAAGTTCCTTCTGCTGCCTTTAGCCAGTCCCCGTACTATCCTTTCGATAGAGTACCATTAGCAATGTCATCCATCCTCAGGCTGCAGGTTCTATCGAGATGGCCAATTCTTCCGCAATAATAGCAGAGATTCATTAGTTTCTCATATTTGAATTCTATTCTTTTGATTTTATCTCCCAGCTTGATACAGGTACATCTCAGTAGTGGCTCTGTCAAATCGATAGTAACAAGGAGGCGGAGGTATCTACCACAGTTCCCATTGCCAGAACATATAGTGACATTTTTAACATGCTTAAAAGATTTGCCAATCTTTAGGCCTACTTCAGAGCAGAGCCAGTTAATTTAGGGGTACATTGTTTACCTAGACCCACATATCCATTTCCTTGAAGCACTCATGATCAGCAGATAAGTCCTCTTGCCATTCCTTTAGAAGTAGGTATTGGTTTTCAAACGACCAGTTCCTCCCAGACGCAATCTTGCTCTTTTCCAATTCTGAATCGAAAATAAACTGAAAGAAACTTGGCTCTATTTCTCTGATCGTCAATGGATGTTTGAGTTGCCAAACTTGCTCCATAGTGCTCTTGAGCCCAAAAAGATGAACTTTCCTATCACCAACAATTTTGCCAAAGAGACTTTTTTTGCATTCATTAGCGCTGAGGCGAATATCTGTTGGGTCAAGGTCTGTTATGTTTTCCTCTTTTTGCGAGAGAGAAAATTTTTGGAACCGATTTGCCAAGTCGTCCTGCATCTTGAAGGCAGCAACAGAGAGGAGAAGCGGATTAAACAAGAAAAGGAACGAAGATGAGCTTGCGGAGAGAGAGATTGAACACAGAGACGATGAGATCTAACCGAAAACTGGTAATAGTCGAGAAACTTCCACGCGGAAGAAAACCCTAACCGGAAACCGGTAATTCATACAACTCAAAATATATAGTTACGTTATCAAATTATATACACTCTTAATATAATAATAATAATAATAATAATAATAATAATAATAATAATAATAATAATAATAATAATAATAAAAAAAAAATTTGTGATGGAGTGAAGGACAATCAAAGGGTCCACTCTTGACATTTTGACAATATATTTATTAATTATTAAAACACTCCCCACAATTATTAAATATTATATTCTCAAGCAGTTGTCCACTCTTTACCATGCAAACTCCACCACACACATTCACATCATACAAGCGTACAACTAACCCACAACAAAAATAAATAAATAAAAATCACATATTTAATTATTTATGCCTACACCAATTCAGCTAAATTATTCTTCGATTTGCCACAACCTAAATATAAAAAAATGTCAAACGGGGGCAATACGAGTGCGGTCCCACACAGGTGAAGCGCACCATAAGAGGGTTAGCCCAAATGAAGCCCAAGTGAGGTTCCATCCCAAAACCAATTGGTAGTAGGAGGAGTAGCCCACTAGGCTTATAAGTTAGGCTTATTTACCCTATCAAATCAATGTGGGACAACTCACAAGTGACTTCCAACACGCCCCCTCACTTGTGAGTCCTTCATCAGCCCACGCCTCCAACTAGGCCGGGTATATTTTTCAGCCCACGCCTACAACCAGGCCGGGTATAATTTTCAGCCCA